CCGGGTTCATAGGCTGATGCTCCACCCCTGAGCCCCGCCGGCCGGGCTGCTTCTACATTAAATTTAAAAACAACAGCTCAGTGCGGAGCTGAGCGCCTGCCCTTCTGACGTCGGCGTCAGAGAGGGTCCCCTCCCTCACAGACCCACAGACCCAGGAGCGAGAGAGAAATGACCTCGCCCAGCTCAGCTCAGCTCAGCGTGTTCCCTGCGGCCTGGCAGCTGTGCCGAGTGGTCACGGTGTCCCCGGCATTAGTGTCACCGTGAGGCGTGAGAGGACGACAGCGAGTCACCCCTCCCCCTGCAGGGAGCCACCCGCTCAGGGCCCCCAGCCCCCAGCCAGGAGACTGCTGCCTCCTCGGACCGGAAGGTCCTCCCCTCAGATCATCTCTGTGAGACCAGAGCTCACTATCTCGTGTGACGGTGCAGGCACAGCCCAAGGCCGCGGGTGGCAGGGCCACGGGCCACAGGCCCCGGAGTAGCTGTGCAAGTCCCCACCCGCGTTACTTAGGTCTCAGTTTGTTACGATTTTAAAACCCTACTTGCTTTGATTCAGCGCAGAGCAGGACCAGGATCCCAAGGCAGTTAAGACGCCCTGATTTTTGAGGGGATTTCGCTCTCGGTCACACACTTGTCTGTGGCGCCCCCGCGTCAGGGGTTTCTGCGGGGAGCTGTGTGTGAGATCCTCGCACCCCAGCCCCCACGTTTCCGCTGAGTCCGGCAGGGTGATGGCGCGTGGGGCGGGTGGTGGGGACGGCGGTGCGGCTGACGTGGCCTGTGTCCCTGCCCTGACTCCCGCAGTGAGCCTGCCTCTGGGGCCCAGCGGCTCCTGTGCAGACGGGGTCCCTGCGGTGCCCGCGGAGGCCGAGGAGACCGTGTCCGTGAGCAGCTGTTTCGCATCCGAGGACACGACGGAGGACTCGGGGGTGATGAGCTCGCCCTCGGACATCGTCTCCCTGGACTCCCAGCACGACAGCACCAAGTCGCGGGACAAGTGGGCCACCGACCAGGAGGACGGCAGCGACCAGGACCTGGCGGGGACCCCGGAGCTGGGTCCGCCCAAGAGCCCCGTGTGGGAGAGAAGCGGCCTTGGGCACTGGCATTCCAGGTGAGTGGGGGGGTGGCCGGGGGAGGGAGGGCACCCCAGTGTCCAGGGAAGACGTCATGGGCCACAGTGACCCAGCAGAGACTCCCTCAGTGTCTCGTACCCACCAGGTGCCACCCCCAGGGCCCCCTCTCCTGACCCACAACCACGTCTGCACACTCTCCACATGGGCCTGCGTCGGTAACCATATGGGGTGATGTCTTGTTAGTTTATACCCGTTTATAAACACTGTCTTTCTTTTAAATGTATGTGTATGTGTATGTGTGTGTGTGTATATATATATATATATATATATATTATTGATATCAGAGAGGAAGGGAGAAGGAGAGAGAGAGAAACATCAATGATGAGAATCATGGGTCAGGATTGGCTGCCTCCTGCACACCCCACACTGGGGATCGAGCCGTGACCTCCAGGTTCATAGGTCAGTGCTCAGCCGCTGAGCCATCCCGGTCAGGCAGCACTATCATTCTCTTAGAGTACGTTTCCCCGCAACATCCTGTGTGCAAGATTTGTCCAGGATGGCATGTGTCGTTAGTGCATGCATTTTCCCATTTTTGAATGAAAGGACACGTAGGTTGTTGAGGATCCCACGGCCGGACATAATGAGCAAGGCGTGTGTGGGTCTCTGTTTGCACACAGAGCGTTTTCTAGAAGAGAAACAATTCGACTCCCAGAAAAACTCATTTTTTAAAACACGTTTTTATTGACTTCAGAGAGGAAGGGAGAGGGAGAGAGAGAAACATCCATGATGAGAGAGAATCATTGCTCGGCTGCCCGCTGCACGCCCCACACTGGGGATGGAGCCCACAACCTGGGCCTGTGCCCTGACCGGGAATCGAACCCTGACCTCCTGGTTCATAGGTCGAAGCTCAACCCCTGAGCCTCAGGGGCCGGGCGAGAAACTCATTCTTAACCTCAGGGAGGGCTGACAGATTGCTCTCCAAAATGATGATCTGGTTTGCACGCCCTGTGGGGTCACTCCGCGCCCAGGCCGTGTGCAGGACGAGCTGACAGGTACGCCCAGCCTGCAGGTGCCGTGGCGTTTCACGCGGCCGTCATTTCTAATTCTCCGGCCGGGAAGAATGGTCCGCCGGTCCCGTGGGAGGCAGCAGTGTGGTTCCCTCTTCTAGCTCTGCCTTCTCACAGACTTGGACTGTTTTTAAAAATTGTGATGTTACTTTAGAAACAGTCATCTCCCCTTGTCAGCGAGGTGACAGAGGGTCTTTAAAACCGCGAGGTGGACTTACCTTTCTGCGGTTGCTGTGGCTCGGGTATCCCCGTGACGTAGCTCTGGAGGCAGCATCTCTTCGTGAGTGAACGTGGGGCCCCCCATCTTCCTCTCGGGGAGACGCCGTGATGCCCCTGGCGTCCGTTAGCACGACGCCCTGCTCGGGAAGCGCTGCTCTGGGCCCTCAGCCTCCACTGTCCGTTAGAGCGTGCACAGCACACATGTCAGTCACGCGGGGAGAGGAACGCCATTTCTCCATTAACCTAGCACCCCCCACACTCTTGTTCTGTGGCCCTGTCCACAGCGCAGGGCAGTGAGCCGGGAGGGGCCGGGGGGGGGGGCCAGGGCCCGACTGTGGGCTGTGCTGGGTCGGAGTGGGTCAGGCGCTTGTGACCAGGAACATTTCATGCTCTCTGGAGCCTGCAGCTTTGTAACTAGAGGAACTCTGGAAGCATAGGAACATTCAGGAACATGTTAACACCTTCTAAGACCCTGAAACTTTGTAAGTGCCTTATAAAGTAACATAAAGACCATTTACGACCCGGGAGAACTGAGCTGTTTGGGACTGTGGCCACCGGCCACTTCTAGCCGCCAGCAGGTGCCCAGGGGCCGGCCCACAGGAGCTCTGTGTCGGTGTGGACATGCTCCCAGTGTGGCCTGGAAGTCAAGTGACTTTATGGTTATTAGATGGAGAAATGATGAGAATAATCTGGGTTACAGTTCGGTTAAGGGAAGTAGACTCAGTAAAGTTAAAGAAGGCATTTAACTAGAGTCCACCCCACCGGCGTCCTCGCCTGTGTGGCTGTGGCTGCACGAAGAGCCAGGATTACGCTCTAGAACTCGGGAGCCCGGTGAGCAGGGGGGCGTTGGTTAACGGAGTGGAGGTGAGTGTGTGCGGCCGCGATCGGCCGTCCGCTTTCCCAGGCTCCGTGCCTGCAGTTTATCAGGTAACTGTTGTGAAGTCGACGGGCGGCGTGGCACTCCTTTGCAAATTGTTCTGCCACCGGAAAGGGAGTTTTCTTCCTCTCCAACTCTTCCTTATTTTCTCCTTCATGGTTCCACTATGGGATCCGTTACTCAGATAAACTTTCTGGCCGCATCAGATAGACACATGACCGAGGAGGCTGGATGGGTCAGAATTAGCCCAGGCTCTGCATTTCTTCCTCGTATCGCATGAAAACCAAACCAAAAGCACCCGTTTCCTGGCATGGATTGGACCCAGCGGCCCCTCTTTTTTTTTTTCTTTTTTAATACATTTTATTGATTTTTTTACAAAGAGGAAGGGAGAGAGATAGAGAGCCAGAAACATAGATGAGAGAGAAACATTGATCAGCTGCCTCCTGCACATCTCCCACTGGGGATGTGCCCACAACCCAGGTACATGCCCTTGACCGGAATCGAACCTGGGACCTTTCAGTCCGCAGGCCGATGCTCTATCCACTGAGCCAAACCGGTTTCGGCTCTTTTTCTTTTTTAATTTAATATATTTGTATTGATTTCAGAGAGGAAGGGGGAGGGGGAGAGAGAGAGAGAGAGAGAGAAACATCGAGGATGAGAGCAAATCATGGAGTGGCTGCCGCCTGCACGCCCCCTACGGGGGATGGAGCTGCAACCGGGTCTGTGCCCTGACCGGGAATCAAACCCTGACCTCCTGGTTCATAGGCTGACGCTCAGCCACTGAGCCACGCCGGCCAGGCTGCCCCTCATTCTTGTTAGCAAGAGTGGGGAGCCCCCTCGGGGCACCCGCCCTGTGCCCGCTGCCCCTGCCCCCGGGGAGTGGGCAGCTCTGCTCTGGGAGACTCTGGTTCGAAGCTCACCGTTGTTGAGCTTTGCCCTCGTCGTGGATGCGGCGATGCCCTCACTGTCACCGCGCTCGGCATCCACGCCCGTGTGAGAAAATGCCGCTGGTAATGTCTGTTCAGCATGTGCGGCCCGGAATCTAAGCGTCTGGGCTGTTTGTTCTTTATTTCCTTGGTCTTAAGCCAAAACAAACTGTCAGTAAGAACCGCGTCTGAGGCCCGGGGGTGTGTCGGGCTGCAGCGTGGTGCTGGAGCAAGCAACGGAGCTGAGATGAGTCGGCGCCTCCTGCCGGCTGTCCGCTCCCCTAGACTCGAACTCGGGCCCTGTTGCTTGTCCAGGGCAGCTGCCTCCAGCCCAGGGACAGAGCGCTCGCTCGGTCTTCGTAGGGAGAGAGGGTGCAGGCCCTGAGTAACCCTTGGGAGAAGCGGCTGGCGGTGGGTGGGGAAGGAGAAGCAACTGTCCCTCCATCCCTTCCTCCGGAGATTTCATGTTGGAAAGCCAAACGGGCTTTGGCCCTGGCTTTGGGTTTTGCCGGGTAATCTGTTCACGCCGGAGTCCAGGGCTTGGAGCTGCGGCCCAGCAGGGCCCCAGGAAGAGTCAGCTGCAGGCGATCGTGGCCCCCGGGCCCAGAGACGAGGGGCCGGGCATCCCCCGGAAACACGAGCCGTGGCCGATCCTCCACCCCCAGGCTGCTGGCCTTGCCACTTTGCGAAAGAAAATGATTGCTCATTAGAGGGTCAAAGGGTATTTAGGACGCTACCCGCTTAAAAAGCGTCTTGTCACTCAAGCTTCTTTGAACCAAAGCGAACACAGTTCTGAAAGCGGACAGAAGGTTCCGGTTGAACTCAGCAGCTCACCCTGGCCGCAGGCGACTGGCTCGCTGTCGGCGCCGGGGCCTCAGGCAGGGGCTGTCTTGGATCATCGCGCCGCTGCATGGAAGAGACGGCTGGCCCTTGAACTGCACGGGAGAGGGTTGGGGCCCAACCCCCCTGCAGTTGAAAGTCCAAGGGCAGCTCTCAACTCCCCAGATGCTTGGTTGCCCCTGAGTATCTCCAGCGGGGTGTTGGGGAGGAGGCCCCGGGTGGGGCCGGAGAGGGAGCTGTGACTCCTGTCGCTGCTGTGTCCCTCCTCGTTCCTCTCTTTCCTGATGAAGGGCCCAGGACGCACGACCTGTGGGTGGCCCACGCTGCCCTCCACGCCCTGTCCCTCCGCCACCTGCCCAGGATGCTCATTAAGCCAAGTGAAAGCTGCAGGGGCCACACCGGGCCACCTGTCCCCGTGCTGGGCCTGCGCATGGCCTCCCCCCCCCCCCCCCAGGCCCCTCCACGTGGGCTCAGGAACGGCCTGGCCGTGTGTGCGGGGCTGGTGGGTGAGGAGGCCCAGCCCTCCCGCCCTCTGCCTTGGCAAACTTGGCCTCTAGGTGGCCTGACTCCTTACCACCCTCCCAGGCAGGTGCCAGGTGTGGTGAACACGGCGCAGGTCAGCACACAGCCCGGGGCGGGTCGGCGTGTCTGTGCAGTGTGGACTTTGGACGGCGGGGTGGGCGGGAGCAGGTGTGGTCAGGGAGCTGCTGACCCTTGGGGGCCACGCTCACAGGTGCACCCCACGCCGTCTGCGTCAGAGCCGCTCCGAGGACCGTAGGCCGCAGGGAGTGGGAACGCACGGGGTTGAGTGGGAGCTGGTCCTTCCGCGGATGTTTCTAGAAAGGACGGATGAGATGAGAGCCGAGGGGAACGCGGGCTCTTCCTTCTCTGTGCTCTTCCCTAGGGCGGAGAGGGCCGCAGCAGCCCCCGGGGAGGACGGGGGCCTGCTCATCGCCGGGCAGTGGGAGCAGACCCTGGCGGGCCTGGACGAGGACCTGGAAGGTGAGGACGGGGCCTGCGCGGACACGACCCGCGGCCCTGGCTGAGGCTGCCTCCCTGGGCGCACGTGGGTGATTTCTCCCTGGGAGACGCCTGCGGAAGGAGGGGCCGTTCAGTCAGCAAAGGCTGAGCCTCGAGGCCTCCTGGTCCTGCCAGGGCTGCTGTGGGGAAGGGAGGCTGTGACTGGCCCCCGGCAAGTGTAGGTGACAAACCGAGTGACACTGAAATGCGGCTGAATAACTTACACGCACAGGAGCCTGGGACCCCATCGCGGCTGGGCATGGGAGGTCCTGGGCGCGGGGGTCCTGGGCGCGGGAGGTCCTGGGCAAGGGGGTCCCGGGCCCAGGAGGTCCTGCACGCGGCAGGTCCTGGGTGCTGGGGCTCCTGGGCGTGGTCGGTGACCCTGTACGCACTCCTTCGCAGGGATGGACGACAGTTATGAGACCGACAGCAGCTCCGTCACCGGCTCCCTCAGCAGCGCATCTGGTCGCCGCCTGCAGGGCACCATCCCCGACGGTGACACCGACACCATCCCTGTGACCTTCATCGGGGAGGTCCTGGATGACCCCGTGGAGCCGGGGCTGTTTTCCAACAGAAACAACAACGCCGGGTCTTTCGACCAGGGGAGCCCAGCAGGTG